TTTTAGATTTTTTATATTTAAAATGAGATGTTTATCATATATTTGATTATATTTATCTGCAGTTAGTTACACGAATTCATATATAAAGCTTTAATAAGTTATACTTAGGCATAATCTACTTACAATCTTAAGTTTTAAGTAATATGTATTAATAAACAGTATTTTACACATAAAAATGATTTTTAAGAATTTTTGTCAAATTCTTTATAATATAGTATAGATATACACACGACCCATGAAATAATAGTACAATCATATGATATGAGGTAAATTATGAATTGATAAATAGATCTGAAACGAATTTGTCATGCAATTATTGTGCTGTTGCAGAAATAACTTGAGTCAGAGAGATCCAGTAATTTGCTTAGCATGTTCAGCACTTTTCATAATTGCGTAATCATTAAAAATTAAATAGAATTGTTACTAGAAATATTTGAATATAAGTCATCCAGAAGGCTTTTACCAATGGTAAAGAACATCTCATTATCACTAAAATCTCATAATTATATTTTCACACAATTTCACTACAATTTTATACCAATTGATGTTGGTCAAATGTAGAACAAATTTGGTATTTAATATTTATACAAGTTTAATATCTATATAATTTTAATTTATTTGATTACAAATGCTATTTTAGTTTTATATTATATATAAACTATACTTATATTAGTTTATATATGATATATAAATAATAAAACATAAAAAAATGACACACACTCACACACACACACATATATATATATATATTATGATTCAAGAAAACAAAAGGAACATACAAAGTTTTACACCATTTTATTGAAAGAAATTGTGCAAATGATTGGTTATTGATGAACACAATTTGAATAGTTTTATAAATCCTAAAATATATTTGTGTTTTTATTTCTAGTTGGAGCATGTTTTAACATTTCCTTCCACGCCATCAAAAAGCTTTGGACCGGTCGTGATGATGAGGTAAATTATGAATTAATAAACAGATCTGGAAATGAATGTCATGCAACTATTACGCTGTTGCAACAATAACTTGATTCACAGATCCAATAATTTGCTCAGCATATTCATCATCTGTTCTTTTCATAGCATCGATAATAGCAATAAGTGCGACCACGAATGCATAATCCACGTTCTGCTGAATTGTCACCGTGAATTTACCCTTATTGAACTTCTTGTTCTTGGATGGTTTCATTTTGTGCATCTACATAAACAAGTCCATTCATTAGTTTCAGTTTGAGCTTTACACCACAACTGAAGGAATTAAACTTAATCAGCTTTATACATGTAAACATAAACAGCAGAAATTACTAGCAAACAAAGTAAAAGGAAGAACAATTACTTGGGCTATTTTGGTCGAAGAATGATAAGAATCTCCCGTATAAATCGTGCACTTTCTCTTCGACCAGCTTCCTTTGATCTTGAAATCACAAACATCCTTGCTACTCGTTTTGTTCGCCAAGAACACATGTAAACTGGTCTTAAACTGGATCATGTTCGGTTGTTTTGTGCTAAATATCATATCCGAACTGGACGTACTGTTACCCCTAAATACTTTCCATCGATTATGATTACTCATGATCTGGAAAAGAAAATATAGCTAAACTTCAAACAAAACCAACAAAGAACAATAGAATTAGATGAAAAAAAAGATATAAAAGTCACCTTCTCCCGGAGCGTAGCGATGGGTGTGTCGTTGTTGTCGAGTAGCACTCGCTTATGATGGAAAGTTGTGTCGCATGCTTGTACTTTGAGTATGATCTTGTGGTTAACATCTGTGATCACAAGGTTTCCACCAGCATTTGTGTCAACTATGATATCGAAGGGATATGGTGCCGTAAAGTGAGGCCCTATCACAGAAACTGGAATGGATGCAGCCATCATTATTTAATTATCTTCAAATTAACAAACAAATGGTTTTTTAAAGAAGGTATGAATTGGAGAAAGGGTTTTAATAAGATACCTTTGTTGACTTCTGGGGTTGAGACGTTTCATTTGTCAACTCTAAGGAGTAGTGAACACGGTAGTGTTTTACGCGGCGATTCTAATGTTGACCAAGACACTACAACATACAAGGGAGTTGAATATAGGGAAGATCAAATATTAACTATCATTTTTGTGTTAATTTTGAAAACTTTCTTAACCAATCAAATTTCATTATTCTTATACGTTTATGTCTTGTTCTTTTTACCCTTACAAGGGTATTCTAGTAAATTGAATTCATTTGTAACCCCCAAACAATTAATGGGGAGTTACAAACAATCAAATCCCAAAAAATATGCATTCATATTATTATTATTTTTTACTATTGATCTTCCAATTGTTTGGGGAGTTACAAACAATCAAATCCCAAAAAATATGCATTCATATTATTATTATTTTTTACTATTGATCTTTCATGTTCATTCTTGTATGAATTCCTAAATCGCATAAGAAACACAGTAGTAACGATTTTCGGTATTGATCAATTTGAACACAAATGAACCGTGAACACAATTTGAACACAAATGAACCGTGAACACAATTTGAATAAATTAACAGATGTTACCTTAATTTTGTGGGACGTCTATGTATGTGAATATATGGGCCAAAAATTGTGTTCATTTGTGTTCATATCGTGTTCACGGTTCATTTGTGTTCATATCGTGTTCACGGTTCATTTGTGTTCAAATTGTGTTCACGGTTGTTCATTTTTGTTCAAATTGTGTTCACGGTTCATTTGTGTTCAAATTGTGTTCACGGTTGTTCATTTTTGTTCAAATTGTGTTCACGGTTCATTTGTGTTCAAATTGATCAATACCGAAAATTGTTACTACCGTGTTTCTTATGTAATTTAGAAATTCATACAAGAATGAACATTGAAGATCAATAGTAAAAAATAATAATAATATGAATGCATATTTTTGGGATTTGATTGTTTGTGTAACTCCCCATTAATTGTTTGAGTGTTACAAATGAATTCAATTTACTAGAATACCCTTGATAAGTGTATTTTTTCTTCCCAAAATGCCCATTTCATCATTGTTCACTAGGCCTCATTAAAATTCAAACTTTAAAATTTAATTTTTTTATTGATTAATCTTTACCGTTAATTATAGATTTGGATGGCTAAGATCAGTTAATAAGGTTAACACAAAAATGATGGTTAGCATTTTGATCTTGGCCCTATATATATATATATATATATACACATATATATATACATATATATGGGTCTAATCAAATGAGAACTAATTAGTTTGTGTTAACCGTGATGTCCAATCTCAACCACAAATCAATAGATAAATTAAGAAATTTTTAATTTTGGTAATTTTTAATTAAAATTTTAATGCAAGGACATTTTAGGTATTTTCTCTCATCTCTTCTCTCTCCGTCCCCGTCTTCCGGCCACCGTCCTCCGGTGATACCACAGTGTGATACTCAAGCACATATAAGATGCATTGTGATACCACTATGTTACATATCCGATCGACCACACAAATGACCTCAGTGTGATACGCAATCACATATAAGATACATTGTGATACCACTGTGGTATCACCGGAGGACGGTGGCCGGACGGAGAGAGAAGAGAGGAGAGAGGAGATAGGAGAGAAAATACCTAAAATGTCCTTGAATTAAAATTTTAATTAAAAATTACCAAACTTATAAATTTTCTAATTTATCTATTGATTTATGGTTGTGATTGGACCTCACGGTTACCACAAACTAATTAGTTCTCATTTGATTAGACCCCTATATATATACTATATTATAAAACATTTGACAAAAACTCTTAAAGACCATTTTTATGCACGTAATACTGTTTATTGATGCATATTACTTAAAATTTAAGATTACAAGTAATTGTGCATAAGTACAACTTATTAAAGCTCCATATTTAAATTCATGTAACTAACTGCAGATAAACATAATCAAATATTGGATAAACATCTCATTTTAAATATAAAAAATCTAAAATATAATTAGGATAATCAATGAGTTCTAACAGAATACTTAGTTATCATCTTTATAAAAAATATATTATTAAACCTAAATTAAATTTCTTTGTTAGTAAATCTAAATAAAATTATAATTAAAAAATTAAATTAAGGAAATTACACCAAAACATAATAACTTTTAAAAAGATTATTTTGATAATGACATCGATATATATTTTTTTTTTCAAAATTTTATGATATTTTCACATTTATATTTTATTAAAAAATAAAAACATTATCGTTTTCTCAAAACCACATAAAACCATATTATATTGACATAAAAAAAGATTAAAACAAAACACTGAAATCAAGATTTGTCTCGATGCATTGCACAAATACTTTTCTAGTATATATATATATATATATGAAAAATAGAGAAGATACTTTCGTAACTATTACAAACAGAAGAAAAACGGGTTCATATATAAACTCCTTGTGATTCACGTATGAACTGTTTCAAGTGATTCACATATGAACAAATTAACTGATTCAAATATGAACTAAATAACTGATTCATATATGAACTTCTGGGTTCATATATGAATCAGTTAAATAGTTCACATATGAACTAATTAATAGGTTCATATGTGTATCAAATGAGTTAACATATGAATCTGTTTACTGCTTATTTGTAAATGTTACGAAACTACTCATCTAGCTTCTGTATACCCATGGGATGAATTATCCAATTCTTCATGGTTAAAGCCGCAAATATTAATTAGATGAAGGGCTATGATCACTTCTTTACTTCTCAAATATTTACCACTTATCAAATGAATCATATATATATATATATATATATACACACACACATCTTTATCTACTTGGAGGAGTGTTAGTTTTTTTACTTATATATATATATATATATATATAGAGAGAGAGAGAGAGAGAGAGAGAGAGCGTGAGTTATTATGCAACATTTTACATTTGTACAACCAATACAACTCAATATTAACTGTCCATTTAATTTGATGAATATGTAATTTCATAAAAGTTTTGATTGTTTTCTAATATAAAGTATTGATCATAATTAATGAACTCTAATCATCTTTCATAAATATTCAAATCATGATAAATAAACTCTCATTATTTTCATAAATATCTCAATTGATTGCATTGCATTGGTTGCACAAATGTAATGGGTTGCATTTGTAACATTCTATATATATATATATATATATATATATATATATAAAGAGAGAGAGAGAGAGAGAAAGTCTGGTTCAAATGTTAACCAAGTTTATTGTGTTAACTTTGTTAACCATTTTCAACCAATGACAATCCATCTTCTATATAGGTTCATATTCATCTTATATTTTATTCATAAGGGTAAATATGTAATTTTTCTTTTTATGTAACTCCCATATTATTAATTATGAGTTACAAAATTAAAAAATCACATGATTTTTGTTAATTTATTATTGATCTTTTTTTTACAATATTGATTTTTCTATTTATAATGTTTTTGAATTTGTGATCGGTAGAGGCGACCTGGTAGTAAAGTTTTCGGTATCGTTCAATCTATTATGGACAAACCCATTATTTATAATGAATGAATTATTGTTCACAAGTGTTCATATTGTATTCATATATATACTAGCTGCATATCTTAACATTGGTTCGCTCCTGAATGTGTTCATAATGAAGGAACTATTGTTCACAAGCTGTTTATATGTACACTAGATGCATATCTCAACATTGGATCGCTACTGAATGTATTCATAATGAAGAAACTATTATTCACAAGTGTTCATATTGTGTTCATATGTACACTAGCTGCATATCTCAACATTGACTCGCTCTTGAATGTGTTCATAATGAAGAAACTACTGTTCACAAGTGTTCATATTGTGTTCATATGTACATTAGCTGCATATCTCAACATTATTTCGCTCCTGAATGTGTTCATAATGAAGGAACTATTGTTCACAAGTTGTTCATATTGTGTTCATATGTACACCATCTGCATATCTCGACATTGGATCGCTCCTGAATGTGTTTATAATGAAGAAACTATTGTTCACAAGTGTTCATATGTACACTATCTGCATATCTCAATATTGACTCGCTACTGAATGTGTTCATAAAGAAAGAACTATTGTTCACAAGTTGTTCATATTGTGTTCATACCTGTTTTTTTATTTATTTACTTTCGTGTAGCAGTTATTCTTATTATGTTCATATTGTGGTCATAAATGCTATGCAGTCCAAGTTCATATATATGTCAATTTTTGTTCGTATTTGACACAATGATATATATATATATATATATATATATGGGGTCATATGGTTCTTACATTAACAAAAATAAATTAACACAAATCATAAGATTTTTTGATTTTGTAACTCCCAATTAATGATATGGGAGTTACATAAAAAAGAAAAATACATAAATACCCTTTTCCACTTAGTTCACATATGTTCGTGAAATTGTAAATTTAAAAAATTAAAGTTTTAATTTTGATAAATCACAATCGTTTATTGTAAGAATCAATTGGTTAACAAAGTTAACACAATAAACTTGATTAACATTTGAACCAGCCTCTATATAAGGTTGGGTTCATTTGAGACCAAGGGTTTTTCGTGAGACCCGTAAGACCAATTTATGTTCATTAACTAACTTTATAAACTAATGATCTAACGGTCTAAAGTTGTACGGTATCAATTTTGTGATTATTGAGAAGTCTCGTGGCAATTTTGTGATTATGAATGTTAAGATTGTAGATTTAATCCAAGGATTGAGAATTGATCTTACGATTCTCATGAAAAACCTTTGATCTCACATGATACTTCGAGACGTGTTAGTTTCTTTTACTTTATAAAATATTATCAAGCTTATTACTGTGAGGATTTATAGAATGTATTAGAAGAAATATAAAATGTTATATTATATATTTTTTCCATTTTAATAACACTATTCTTTT